AACTAGGGGACCCCAATATAGACCCCAAAATGCTATAGTCTTTCTCCAGAATAAGACCATACTTCATAAGCCTTTGCGAAGGAAACGTCTTTTTCATAACCAAAAACCCCGAGCGCTGCATTCTGTACTTCTCCTGGGGTCAAGGTAAAAAGGGATTGAAAAGGGAAGTAATGTAAGGCTTATTTAGGGGGATACTCGGAGTTAAGACTATCTAGATCATTTATGTAATTGGTTTTTTCCCCAAGAATTAAGGGTACCATATCGGGGATGCCCATAAGAAGGATTACACTATTTTGGGGTCTATACTGGGGTCCCCGATTTTGGGAGACTACCATATATATCTGTGGTGTGTCTACCCTATGGACCCAAGAATAGGATCCCTTTGTGGAGCTTTGCAAGCTCTTCTGGCTCAGCCCATTCAAGAGTCAAAGGTCTGGATAGCCTGGACGAGTTTGGCAGACATTCCAATCAAAGAATAACCCCAGGGATCCAAGTATGCAAATAGTTAATATCTACGTTGGTCCCGGAAGACTGTAAAAATTACCTGCACTGAGGTATTTGGATCCGCAGGGAGAGGGTTTAGGGGTAAGGATTCTGCAAGATTTTTTCACGCTACTTCGACATCTCATTTTCATACCTTGGCAGCGAAGTTCGAAGTGACCTCATCCAGTACCGATGAAAGCTAGTGGTAACAGGTGTTTCTGCACAATAATACCTGGGCAATAATCCCTCGCCCCTGACATTAAAATCCCCCTCCGCCCCTAATATGAAATACTACCGTTAGGTGGTATATTATAATATATTGGAGGGTGGGGGGGTTAATATTATAGGGTGCGCGGATTAGAAAGCCAGGTTTTGATCTGTAGGGGCGGGACTCTCAGCGCTCATCCCATATTTCTAGCCTTTGGTTAGCTGGGAACGATGAGATGGAAAAGAAAGTGGAAACTACTACAATGGGTCATACAGGGACCACTATAAGGATCCAGTCCTTCATTCCTAGCTTAGCAAAGGCCAGTACTACAGGGGCCTAAATAATTACCAATTTCCTTTTGAGGTCATTTGAGGTACCATATACTATAAGTGTACAAGGAATATGGAACAATAAAATTGGTAATTACTTAGGCCCTAAACCCTAAACGCTAAACCCTATACCCTAAACCAATATGGAACCATAATGTTGGTAATTATTAAGGCCCCTATAGTACTTAATGGGCACCTGTTCTGCCTTGAGGGCTAACGGGGACACTGTTTGTGCTATACTCTGGCAGCAATGGCTGGCTCGGGATGCCTAGGATTTGGAGTTCAACAGTTTATCTAGAAAGCCTACTTACCCATAGTAATGGGCTACTTTAACCCAAAGTAATAGGAAATTCGGGCCAAATTGCCTGTAATTATGGGTAACTGGCTTTCTACGTACGGTTTAAAGACACTTCCCCAGTCTAGGTTTAGGGGTTTAGGGTTTAGGGGTTCAGGGTTGAAATCTTACTGGGGATCTGTGCTCAGTGCTTAGTGCTCTGGTACAAAGATTTTGGCTCTGAATCCTGAACAGGGTCTCAGCACATGCTTTGACTGCCCCATTTCCCTTGTGCATACCTCTACATGGATGGCTGTCTGACACTCTGGCCCATAAGATTCTGATCAGGAACTGGCACGAAGAAGACTGTTAGAGAACCCAGCCCACACATTGGACGTACATAAGTGTAAGAACTTCAGCGAACAAGCGCAAACACAGAATCCCATGAAGATCTGTTGCAACATGGGGCTCTCTCCAACCATGGGTGCAGTCTCGCGCTCCCTGAGCGGAGAAGCTACGAACACGAAAAACCTGGAGAGCGGAGAACAAAACGGAAACCTTCAAGGGTTATAGGTCCCCCTTAAGTAGTTAGAATATAATATGGGGTATATGAGGATCATAATTACAATATACTCAAAGCCATATTCTAGCTGCTCAAGGGGGACTATATCCCGCCTGTCGGACACACCAGACCCCTGGTATCAGGTTTCAGGGTTCAGGGTTTAAAGTTTAGCGTTCCTCCCGACTGCTGCGGTTCCTGAGTCCCGACTCCCACCATCCAAATAACTTCGAAATTCCATGGTGAGTCTCTGCTACGCGCTGACCCTTTAGCCCAACGCCTTGACACCGACTCTAAAGCCCACTTGGAGCCTATCATCAATGGGACGTTCTAGCTTGTCACCCCAATCACAGCAACCAACGAATCTCCTAGCAGGCACCTTTGGAAATACGGCCCTCATATACCTAAATCCTGTAAAATTCCGTAAGCCCCGGAACCCAAGAGCATGACCTTGGTCTTTGTGTGCCTCCGTGCGCCGGGAATCCGAGGTCTTGAAGTCGCGCGGCTCGTCCAGGATGGCGATCTGATCCGCGACGTTGATAGAGTGCATAGGGCTTTTGAATCTGAAGCCATAGCCTATATAAGGTTTAGGGCGATTAATGCATTGAGTTCTTAGGCGAGGACAAGTTTAGGTTTTGTGCTCAGGGTTTGGATGCTGATCAGGCAGCTGCTCAGGTTTGCGGTCTGTGTCTGTTCCCATTACACAGCGCCATCAGGTGGCCGAGAAGATGACAAACCGGTATCACAAACCCAACCCATACAGGCCTGCTACCAAAAGAACCTTGGCTACGATTACGAATAGATGACACCAGTATAGCCTAGTCCAAAGATTCATGATACGCAAATTGTTTGGAGAAGGGAAAGAGGTTTAGCAACATCCGATTGTTCGTGCGGTTGCAAGAAACTGCCAGCATGCTAAGGTCTGGAGAAGAATCTGTTTGCAGGGAAATTAGTGTCGGCCTACACCTTATCTAAAGATTGGACGAAACATCTTTGATCCGTCCGCAGCATCCAGCTTGCAAACAAAAGCAGCGCAATGCAAAGTGTCGTTGTCACATGCTTCCACCAAAGCAGTCCCTGTTTGCCCTTGGAACCCACCAAACATCAGCCTGCTGGAAGCTCGTAGCCGGCGCCAGCCCAAGCCTTGTCCGTGCTTCAACAAATCTATGCTTGGGGTCGTTGTGACCCGTGAACCAGGGATAGAGCCAACCAAACTTGCCATGGACATTGACATAGACGCGCAAGCTTCTCAACCTGAAATTTGGCCCCTAAACCCTAAACCCTTCACCATCTACAGGTCTCAGTAGTGCGGAGCCCAAAACATGATACGAAGCACGACCAATCAACCAAGAAAGTTAGGATGCAGCCTGAATGACCTCTTGTTTGAGCATCGCATTCCGTGGACGTGCTTGTGTGAACTGTTATCATCACCATCATCAATACAGTGCCACTGGCATCATCAGCGCCACCCACAACATATGCCCTCGTGCATAACTACACAGCAGTTGAACGCCTTCTTCCTGAGGCTACGGCGCTGCATTGCCTCTGTTGTCTTCACCTTCCCAAGAATTCCCTCAAAGTTGATGGCCACCTCGGCTAGATCAGTCTTTCGGACAAACATGCGAAGTTCCACGCTTTCTAGGGACTATTCCAAGAGCGCATTGTCTATGACGCTGTCTTCCGGCCATCCGCCCATCTTGGAAACTGCAACCCCTTTTGAGGTTTGCCCCCTCGCGGCCGAGATGCGTGGAGCCTCGTTTTATGGATCCATGCCCGGGAGTTCTTCCTGTCCATAGGCCTGCCGAACACGAGCATTGGGTTTAGGCTTTAGGATTTAGGCAGTGGGTTTTAGGGTTCAGGATTTGTGCTTTAAAGTCTTAGGGCTTGGGATTTAGGACTTAGAGCTCGAAGGATGGAGAGCTCGCAACGTTTGCAGAGGGAATCCCGCACCATCCTAAAATCCTTGACTTTGCATTACGATTATGGGTGGTTGTCAAAATTGTGGTCCCTTTTGGGGTTCCCTAAATAATTAATAGGTGCCGTATGATAATAGGGACCCAAAAAGGGACTATAATTTTGACAGCCGCCCTTATGGATCCCAGCTGGTGCAAGGTGTCATCAACAGCTTTTGCGTCCCCACTGCCCAGCATGCCACCACTAACACAGATGTGGCGAACGCGGTTGCTGCAGAGGTTCCCGACATCAAACAGTACAACAGACTCAGAACTTTGGTCTCATAGTTTGAAAGAGCTCTGGGACGTCGATACCTACTAATTTGGGAGGCTTCTTAAACAGCAAGAGCAAATTCATTGGAGAACAACAAGGTCTCGGGCAATCTCACTCGTCAGTAGCATAGCGAACCACTGAATACCCCTTGCGATACCATGTGTTTTCTACCACATCCACTTCTGCTGTTCTTCTCCTTCCTATGGTTACCCCCACTTCAAGCACTACTATGACTGTTACTTTATTCGGGAAATACTACTGGACAATAGCATATAATGAATTCCCACGGAGTACCGCCTTGGAATATGCAACATTTTGTGCTGTACAAACTTACGCTGTACGCGGTTTAGGGTTTAGGGTAATGCAACAATAGAAACGTTACGAGCCTCCGGCAGATACCACAGTGTTCAACTTTTCTATGGATCCAAATAGCCTGTATGTAATTTTCACAGACGTTTGGGTCCATGCAGGAAATATTTACAGACTTTTGGGCCCAATGTAGGTAGTATTTGTATACTTGGAGCCCTAGGACTTGAGTATTCTAAACATTTTGGCGTTGATTTCCTTTTAGCAGGCCCTGTGAACGAAGCAGGTGCGCCGTGCGCGGACCTCAAGCCCTACTCTTCAACAGTGGCCCATTGTGTTGAGCACAGCATTGTGGGTCAGAGGATAATCGCAACTTTGGATTCCAGGGATCTCCGACATCCAAGCAGGAGCGCAAGACAGCATCCAAAGATGTACTCCGCCGCCCCCGCTGAACAGGAATGAGGTCAATGTTGACCCCTCTCGGATCTCTTCCGAACATGGCCACTTTGGGCCAATCCTCTCTTTTGGTCAATTTAACTGACCGTCTCCTAATAAATGCTTTGGCTCTGCTTTCAGCAGTTGCGACCGCCGCAGGGAGAACACTCAGAGGGGTGATCACTTCTTCGCCGCGCTTTTGGGTTGAGCCTTGGCATTCACCGCCCACTTGGAAGCTTTGCCCTCCTGCTGCTTCTGCGCCCTTGCCCAAGCCTCGCACTCACTCTTGATAATGTCTTCGGTGGTATGGATGAGATGCTCGATATTTGGGATCGCTGCCCTTTCTATTTGGGTCAGGCTATTCCACCATGACTCCAAGTTCTTCAGGGCCATGATAGTATCAGAGTACCGTTGGATGCTTTGCTGAACATTCAGGAACTCTGACCAAGAGGAGGAAGCGGAGCTGAGTGTAGTGCCCACAATGACCCAGCGAGTGAAGCCGAAAAAGGCCAGGACCGAGCTCAACGAGACACTGACAATCGACATAAAGAATAGAAGTCGATTGTATCTGGCATACCCGGGGAGACGTTTCTGGTAGAACTCGATCATCCATCGTAAACGCAATTGCACATAAAGCGACGGCTGGACGGGGCTGTGGTGGTCGTCCTTATAACCGTTATAGCCATTTCCTTTCAGCAGCTCTTCAGCCCATTTGAAGAACGCCTGGCCCTTTTCTGGGGGACTTTGCCTTTGCCGCAATCTGCTCAGTGTGCGATCATCTGGCTTGTATTGTCCGTGGGTGAAGTAATACATAGGATGCTGTCTTTGAAAATCCGACCTTTGCAAATCTGTTTCCTGCACCGCTGCCTTACGCCAAGAAGTCAGCTCCTTCTCCAACCTCTTCTCTTCAACATCAGAATCAAAGTTCAAGGACTGCATTTGGAACGGACCACACCGCGTGCGAAAAAGCCATATCTTGCTTTGTAGCTGCGTGGCCGCTGCGCGCAGCTTATGCCAGCGGGACATGGGGTTAGCGAATGCAAGTACTGAGATGATGCTGGTTGACAGCAGAGCAATCGCAAACAGCGCTGAGTCCACATTGAAAGCTGTCCGGTCAATACTGATCATCGTCCAGTCAAGCTCCTCTGCCAGAACCACGGAGATGACCGAAAATGCATTCAGAAACAGCTGAAACATGTAGAGGAATCTGCCCAGCCTTCCGTACCTGACCTCGGTTATGTACTGGACAAAAAAAGTCGGGGCTATCGGGGCACCTTTCAGCGTGCGCAGCTACTAGGCCAGTATATTTAATTAGGATTTAGGATCCCTTGCCCCTTTTCATGAAGCTGCCCTCAAAACTATGAAATACTTCAGGAGGCCTGAAATCCGTGAAGATTTTGTTATCTTTGTTAATACTACAAGACCAAGGCTTGGCGTCTTTTAAATGAAGCCAATTAAGCGCTTATTCATAATAAGTCAGGCGCCGTTGCGTCAAGGATTAGGGGTGTCTTTATGCTTTACAAGGGAGAATGAGGGCTTGCCTGGATCTTTGCGAACATGACGGGCTTCGAGATGTTTCTACAAGAGCACATACCGAATCTTGTTTCAAGTCGGGACTGCCTTCATGTCCATGTAATAGACCATACGTACTGAAATCCGAAAGAGATTGCCCAAGTGTGGGTCGTTCAATGCATGTCCCGCCTCACGCAGTTCCCCATACTTGTTGTCACGTAATTGGGGGGGCTTGACACGTTTTAGGGAGGGATCGATTCCTTTTCGAGAACGTTTTGTTATCAGGGGAGGGATTGATTCCTTTTCGAGTGCAGAAAACTCTGAAAACAAAGACCTGTAAGCCCCATACCAGACACCACTGCCTTACCAAGGCTTCAAGTTCGAACAAAACGCAGAAAACAGCAGAACCTTTGCAAACTCGTGGACTCTTACACAAGTACAAGTGGCAGCCAGGGCAGATGCAATGTCATGCTCGATCCAAGCTTCTCTCAGGAGCCGAAGCGCTTCTGAACTGTTTCCTTGGGGCAGTTTCTGATCGTAGGGTTTGGTGCCTGAGGTTTTCAGGCTTTCAGGCTTGAGGCTTAGGGCAAGATCCCCAGCTGCTTGCGAGCTGCTGGGGCCGTTTACGACATGCTGCATCACCATCATCATCATCATCACCAACAACCACCATGTTCTTGATTCTTGAGAGGGCGTGCTTAGCTGCACTGCGAAACCACAAGAGTCACTAGATATCACTAGGGATGGTCCTTCTGGAAGGCGAGTTCTTTCGAGCAAATCTCGCACTGTGTCGTCAAGGACGTGCTCATCCCAGAACACGTTGATGGGCTGAACCATGTCCTGAGCTGATTGAAAAATCCCGCTGGGCTTTCGACAGTCATACCAATAACAATGATAGCAATAACCACGTTCCAACTAGCGCAAACGCGCGCCGAATCATCGGCGTGCATCGCTACATGACAGAATTCCTGCAAAACGCAATATTTCAGCAAGCGCAGCTATGGGGAGTCTCTAGAATATACGTCAACAGACAAGATTGTTTAGCGTGCCCTTGCCGAAATACTGCGTTTTCAAAGGACTTCTCTCATGCAAGAATTTGTGAAATGTGAGTATGCAAAGCAACAGATGGAGGTCGTTTCATCTTTCACACTGGAACGGCCAGTTCTTGTAACTTTGGACTAATGGGGCGAAGCTTGGACTAATGGAAACGATCCTTGGACTAGTAGGACGAGTCTTGGAGTAATGGGGGGGATGATAAATTGACGTCAGAACTCCTCACATTCTTGGACTACTGGGGTGAAGCTTGCACCAATGGCGCGAAGCTTGGGCTAATGTGAACCCAGTTTGGACTAATAGGATGAATTTTGGACTCCTGGGGCAATGATAACATTGAATCGGAACTTCCCACACCCTTGGACTAATGGGGCGAACCTTGGACAATCGGAATCTCCAATATTAATGTGAGCATGCTGTCGCCATGGATGCGGTAGGAATTGAATGCACGCGAACATGAATGGTAAGATGGTTTGGGCATGGGAGCTCTGGTATTTAGATGCAGCCGAACATGAACGATGTTATGGTCTGGCCATGGATGCTGCGGCAAGCACATGCGTCTTGACCCCTCTCGTTGCTCCAATTCACTGGCGTCAAGAATGCGATGCGAGGTACACGCAGTAATTTGGCCACGCAAAACACTTCGAATGCGCGGTGCGTGCCACGCAGGCCATATCCGAGGAGGTCGGCCAAGTACGCATGTGTTGCGTGTTTACGCTCCGGCGGAGCCAACGACAGTAATAACAATAATGGCGGAAACAGTACTCTGTATTCTGATTAGACCTATAATAAAACAATATTCTCAATATTTCCTTGGGGTTATACTATAACAAAAATTAACAATAATTCCTAAGGACAGTACAGTACTGAAAATAGGATCAACTTGTGCCAGCTTCTTCAACTAGTCGGAGGCTGTCAGGCTTTCTTAGGCCGCCTACAACACAACTCTTGGATGAACCGAAGTTCCAGGCCCGAAAGAACTGAACTACTATGGGCCTTGGAAGGACCGCATACAGGATTCACAAGTAACAGTTTCCAAAGAAGGCGCAGTTTCTCGGCCGAGCAGGGCGTGTGCTTGAGAAACAAAGTCGTTCTGTTCTGGTCCGATTGCTTTTGCATGTCCAGGCTCCTGACCGCTCAACCTAGGGTCCCGAGCACCCAACGCAGTCAAGTTGGTTATCATAAGGGGCACAAATAGAACACAAGCAAATGCAAAGCCTGTTGGAAACAACCGGCAGGAGATAGCTACCCATCCATGTGCCGAATAGCAACCTCGACCTACAATCAGAATCTGGCAATACAGAAAACATGTTTACAACACATCCTAACTTAGAAGTCGAGAGACTGGAAATCAGCATCACCATTGCTATTGACATCCTGCCGTGCTTCTGCAGTGCGTTCATGCTTTCCAGGCATTACTGGGACAAGGCTCCCGCTGAAGTCCACGAGGATCTCACGCACCTCCTCTTACTGGGGGTTAATAGGGAAGAAGGGAATATAGTCCTATATACTCCCTATATAGTATTCCCTTGTTCCCTGCTAACCCCCAGTAAGTCCTTGAGGTGCTGAAACTTGATTGCTTCCCTGTCATCTCGATCTGTCTCACATATCTTGTGTTGCAGCCACAGCGGCATTTGACCACCGCGCTTGTTCGGGCTGAACTGATGATACAAGGCAATGACATAGGCTAAGTGGCAGACATCTAACCTCGGCTGGAGGGTCGATTTTGTGAACGTCTCGACCTCCTCCTTGAATTTTTTCTTACGGCCGTCCATCACATTCTTGTATTCGTCCTTGATTTGGCCAGCCATTTCTTTAGCGGCATCGTTGTCGCCGAGATGGTTAAGGGAATCCAGCCGATTGAGTGCCACGACAGAGGCCTTCTTGGCTTGGCCGGTGCGGGCGCGGTCTGCTGGAGCCGATTTACCGTCCTTGCGCTCAATGAGGTCGAAGAGAAGTACTGGAATTCCACGCTGGGCTGCCTCAACAGCAAACTGGAGGCTAGCGTCCTGGCCCTCAGGTAGACCAGAAAGTTCAGAGTTGCCGGTTTTCAGTGCAAGGCAGGGCATCTGGGAGTTGAAGTAGGACACGATCGCGGATCTGAGTTTCACTGCAACCTTTCTTGTCCAAACATCAAAAACAGAAACGTTTCCTTCCAAGGCCCTGTGATGCAGGTAGTTTGGGGCCCAAGTATACACCATGTCTGGACCTGCGCCACAAAGGACAAGAGTTATAACTTTTCAGACGGACCAATCAGTGAAACTCCAACAAAATGTGTTGGCCAGGCAAGAAGCACATTTCTCAGCGCTACTCCGGTCCGTGCCATCACCGATCAACACCAAATTGGGTACGTCTTGGCGAAGGTCACAAACTTTGCCGGCAGCAACAAAATGGTATGGATGTTCTGGTGCGTACATCTTCTTAAGAAGGCATTTCCAGTGATGGGGGAATGCGTAACACTTTTCCTGAATCTCCTGACCCGAATCTGGCCATTCTGCAAACCCAAGAACAGTCAATGGCACTTCTGCGCCCCAAGCAGGTTTGCGGTGCGTGTAAGCCTTCATGAAAGAAGAGGCAAGGATACACGACTCTTCTCTGGCATCACATAGCACAAGCGCATTAGCTTCTTCTGCGATGGGCAGAAGTACTCTTTGCATAAACATGTCCAGCAGGTATCTTGACTCTTCCATAGAACTAGCAAGGCCAGAGTTCTCGATGGATCCAGTGCTTTCCAGATCACCCACAGAAGTGAGGAAGCAGAGGACCATCTTGGGCGGCTGTTTGCAGAAGTCCTCCACCATGCGCCGGATACTCTCATCGGTCCTGAGGATGATCGAAGCCTGCAGATGCGCTGCATGCAAAACACGATAAGACCTGTGGGTGTCCAGCTCCACTTCGCTGATCATGTCGTGCATTGTACGAGCCTTCATCTCAAGGTATGCTTCCGCCGCCGGAGCATGTAGAAGTCCTTCCTCCTGCCCCGCGGGGCGACGTGGTTTTTTGGCTTTCCTCTTTGTGCGATGTCGCTGCACAGCGTCAGCTGCTTCCTCTGTGACTGTTGTCTGCACGCCTTGTGCAGGAACTGCGGGATGCAAACTTTGAGCATCCTCTGCAGGTGGATTGCCATGGCTCTCGTTTGGGCACGCCATAGTTAGATATGAGTGTTGCTAACAGCAGATACTGAGACGACGATATCTGGGAGATTCTACAAGTGAGCTAGCAGCTAGCGCATCGTGCGTACTATCCTTGACCATGCACTGAAGACACTCGCGCGCATCAACTGGAAACTGATTCCTGGAGGCTCTGTCAGCCTCTGTTGAGTAGAATGGCCCGCAGGCCACTGTTGGTACTCCGCCCTCACTAGCGCCTTCACCATCAGGTCTGCAGGCCAAGAGTGAAGGGAATAGTGGAAAACCTACACAAATCTTAACCCAACCCCGAGCACAAGCGCCTTCAGCAACTGACACATGCAAAGCAAGGTACAACAAACTACCGCACAATGAGCGCCTCTCCATCTCCAGATCTCCGCAAGCGTCAGGCTCCAGGCTGTATGCGCGTGGGGATTACTCGCCCCCTCCGAACATGTCCATCCAACCTGGCCCCATGAGAAAACAGCGACACAACAAAAAGAAGTGCTTGCAGGAGCAAAAAGTAATGTGTATATATATATATACAAGTATTATATAGTAGCTGGAATGACAACTTTACGGGCAGCACTCACTGCTGCAAACGTGATCGTTGCCTATGAGGGATGGCGCCTCCGTCTCCCTCCTCTTTCCGCCGCCTGGGACTTCGCCCTGCCTTTCCAGTTTTGGTGAAGGTGGAGGCCACTGCCACAGCACCTGGAAACACTGCTTTGAGGTGAGGAGCTCCTCTTACAGGGTCTTTAGTTATGCATACACATACCTGTTGAAGGAGTTCTGGGATGTAGTACATTACCCGGATGCAGGGTGAACCTGGTGGGCATGGGTGGTTCAGCTCCTGCTTCTTGCGGGTGCGTGGAGGAATAATCTCAAATCTCAACCCTAAACCGCGTGTCGCACGGGCTTAGAGCTCCTGGGACCGGAGACACCTTCTTCTGGGCTGCATACTCATTATTTGACTGCTATATTTACAGGCTTTGCGCTGTAGGGACACCTATCTTAAGCACATTAACAGCGACCGCCAGCGACCCAGTCTTTCTGCTATCAGAAGCTCGCAGGCACACGTTCTAGGGTTTGGAGCCTTTGGAATCAAGGTTTGCAGAACTGATATGTGGGCAGCTTCCGCGTTTCAATGAGTCTTAGCTTGGGGTCGTTGTCACCCCTGAACTAGGGATAGAGCAAAGAGAACTTGTCAGGGAAATGGACATAGACGTACAGACTTCTCAACCTGAAGTTTGCCGCTACTAAATCCTAGACTTCAGTAGTGCGTACCCAGAAGATGATAAGAAGCACGAGGATGCAGCCTGAATGATCTCTTGTTTTAGCATTCCGTGGACGTGCGTGTATTAACTGCTATTCTCCCTATCATCAATGCAGTGCCACTAGCACCATCAGTGCCACCCACAACCCGTTTCACAAAGCCGCCAGCACAAACAGCTCCTGCAGAACTAAACAGCAGCTGAATGACATCTTCCTGAGGCTACGGCGCTGCATTGCCTCTGTTGTCTTCACCTTCCCAAGAATTCCCTCGAAGTTAATGGCCACCTCGGCTAGATCAGTCTTTCGCAGACCTTTGCATGAAACATGCGAAGTTCCACGCTTTCCACTTGTAGGGGCCATTCCAAGAGTGCATGGTCTATGAAGCTGTCTTCCGGCCATCCCTCCCTCTTGGCAGCCGAGACGCGTGGAGCCGCGTTTTGTGGATCGCAGCCCATGCCTGGGAGTTCTTCCTGTCCATAGGCCTGCCGAAAACGAGCGCTGGGTTTAGGATTTAGGATTTGAGTTTTACGGTTTTAGGCTGAGGCTTTGGGTTCAAGGTATAGGGTTTGGGGTTCAGGATTTCAAGCTCGGGGGATGCAGAGCTAGGTACGTCTGTAGAGGGAAATCTGCAGCATCCTCAAATCCTTGAATTTGTATTACGACTGGTGCAAGATGTCATCCGCCATTAGTTTTTGCTTCCTCACTGCCAATTATGCCACCCATAAAACTTGAGGTTTTAGGGTGTAGGGCAATGGAGAAATATGTGCTCAAGAGATGTGGCAAACCCAGTAGCTACATGAGGCTCCCTAAATTAAAAAAATGCACAACCGATTCAACACTTTGGGCTCCTAGTTGAAGAGCTCTTCTGTTCAAGGCGTGGGGCAAGGGATTGAGGTCGTATGGTGGGACAGCGATACAAACTGATTTGGGGGGTGTCTTAAAGAGCAAAAGCAAGTTCATTGGAGAACAACAAGGTCTCGGGCAATCTCACTCGACAGTAGCATAGCGAACTCTCACTGAATACCCCTTGCAATACCATGTGTTGTCTACCATATCCACTTCTGCTGTTCTTCTCCTTCCTATGGTTACCCCAACTTGGAGCACTACTATGACGGTTACTATAGTGGTCCGTCGCAATACTACGAGAACGTCCTAGACCCTAACCCCGTTCCATTCTTGCTTGACCCAAAATGTGTGATTTTCCTCGCATCATTTTTCCAAGCCCTGGAGCTTATCCTTTGCTGCTTTCGCTTTTTTCCTAATTAATCGGTTTTCCAACTAACACCGCATAAATGGCACTTCGCGGCGCGCGGGGACAAGATCTGCTGGCGCGGGATTATGGCGCGGGATTATGATACAACCCATACGTATCATATACGCATCTCTATACCCCCCTTCAACGGGCCCTGAAAATTACACCCCATTTGAGCTACAGAGTGTCTCAACTCCTAGTATCCCCCTTCATAAGCCCCGAAGTAGTAGTCTATAACATCCCCCATGTAACCCTCGAGAGTTTCTTAAAATGAGCCTTATATAGTGAACAACCTCAATGAGGAGTGTTCACTATACAGGGCTCATTTAAAGAAACTCTCGATTCTGAAGTTCTTATCTGCGGCCTCAAGGCCATGGCACGGACGGCGGACCACGAGTCGTCCAGGACCTCACGCAGTGGCAGCGCCGCCTGGGGGAGAAAGGAGCTTTTGGGGGTCTAGGGTTTAGGGTTCAGGGCTTAGGGTTCGTTACATTAACTTATCAACCTGGCATTGCGGAATGGAAAAGAAGATGGAAGCTATTGAATTATTGGGGATTTGATGTGGGCTACTACAGGGATTCCGTACATTAAACGCAAGGAGAGGGATGTGCGAGAATGGGGTCCTGTTTTGGGTACTCCGAAAAATTAGGTGCCATACTCTACCTCTAGTCAGGACCCAAACAGGGACCACCGCCTTCACAATCTACGTACCATGTACGTATATTGTATGCAGGTATGCGTATATGTATACGTAGATGTATGGGTGTGCATATGTGCATATATACATATATACATATATTTATATGTATCTATGTAAACAAATATGTACATATGCTCATGTTGTGATTCCAAGAAGGCAGGGAGCCCAAGGGTATCTCCCCTTGCTGTAAACCTAAGGACTTAGGGTTTGTAGCCGGTTCGTACTTGAGCAGCTAGCTTAGGCTTTTAAATTTGGGGTTAAAACGAAGGCATCCAGGGATGGTGCAAACTGGAAGGCTCCGCAAAACCCCGTGCAGTTGAGTCAGGAGTGCCCAAAATCTTTGCGGTTCCGCAGGGATTCCAAACTTGGTTCAAGGCATGTTGCATGGAATTGCATAGAACCCCCTCCAAAAGAGCAGTAGAGGTCTTTAATTAATGGGGGACTTTTGGGTTTCCATGCTAGTTTAGTTCATCTTGTGCCGTCACTCGTCACAGTCCAAGCCGGAGCCTTGCCTTGCCGAAGGTGTGCTCAATGCGTCAAACCCTCAGGACTCAGGTTCTCAGTCTGAAAGCCAAGGGATATTCCGATTTGCCCAGGGACCCTATGACCCTACACCCGAAACATACATGGATCTGGGCGAGGGCGAGGGGTTTTCCGATGGAGTGCCTCTTGAAGCCCCTTGCCGACATTTATGACGACGGAGGAGCCGACTTCCTCTCTAGCACCTGCTTACAGTTTCACAAGGGGTAGCGGCACCACACCCAATACCACCCAAAAAGGCAAATCACCTGGATAGCCAAACACGATGTCATCCCTGGGCCTGCCCAATGTCGCGATCCGCATGTGAGATGCTGTCCTGCGTCACAAGGAGTAGCGGGGTACCCGCAGTACGGTGTTTAGGGACATGCCATTTTGCAGGGTTGACCCTGAAGGGTATTCCGGAGGGTTATGTTGGGAAAGGGAATCTGTGGGATTTAGGCATTGGGGTTAAGGGTATCGCAACACCGGGTACCCTAAAAGACCCTAGGCTCTCCTAGGCATCCCGTGAAGCATTGCGCAGGGATCATGTTGGGAAACTCCCATGTGTGTGGGAGCTGAGATGCCAGACATGGAACATGCAGTGATCCAGACAGTCAAGGACAGCGCTGTGATTCAGACATCGGGAAATGGAAGCCATCCTTTTGTGAACTCCCATAGGGAAGGTTGTCAAAATTGCAAATACTAGGGGCCATACATATTGTACTAGGGATCCCAAAAACGAGCGTAATCACAGCACATCAAGCAGAAGGCCTTCTTGTAAAGACTCAGCAGGTTCACAAACATACAGACAGTCCTGATCAAGCAGCCGGAAGTGGATGTGCGTACCCTCCTGAGCCGTTGCTTCTTTACAATGGAGCCTTGTATCCCATGCGACATGATACATGCGGCTTTCGGCTCGATTCGAGACCCCAAAAGATCGCAACTTTGAGAACCTCCTGGGTGTAAGGATCTCAGGCCTAGTTGCCTCACCTCGTATCAGGATGCAGCGCCATTGGAAGTACCATGTCTCCAGGAAGCCATGGGTTTTTTGTACTAGAACAAAAAGGATTATGAGAAGATACTTCGGGTCCATTAAGTCCTTCTACTAGAGCAAGAAAGGATTCTGAGGGCATGCTCTTTTTAACTTTCCGGGCTTTTACAGAACACACCCATCAAAACTACGGGTCGATCTTGTGCACCATTTTTACTTCGGCACCCTGCATCACCCCGCATTTGAGGATGCAAAAGTGGTAGCCTCAGTTTGGCAGCTACCCA